GGTCGTTCGCGCAACCTCGGAAAAGATCCTCACGTGAGTGCAGTGACATATATATACTAGGAGCAAGAAGCTACTAGGAGCAAAGGGCATCGCTACTAGAAGCAAGGACGCTACTAGGAGCGTCTTTGCTCCTAGTAGTAAGGCCAGGAGCCCCTAGTAGCGTCCTTGCTCCTAGTATCGATGCCAGGAGCCCCTAGTAGCGTCCTTGCTCCTAGTAGCGATGCCAGGAGCCCCTAGTAGCGTCCTTGTTACTAGTAGCGTGTTGTTCGGAGGCTGCCATGCGGGGAGCCCAAGAGACCTTGGGCTTCGACTCCCCGAGCCACATGAAGGGCCTGCAGGCGCACGCCGTGCACGCCGTGCAAGCGGCGCAGCAAGCGGCACTTCCAAGGGATGCGTTTCTGTTTTTTCCCGTCAAAACCAGATACATTTTGGCAAATGCTGCAAAAAGAAGCCCAAAAAGAATCGTAGCATTGTTGTGCAGAATTAAATTGAAACTAAACTAAATTAATAGCTTCTTGTTACTACTAGTAAGGCACTTGTTACTAGTAGCGATGCACTTGTTTCTGATAGCGAACATTGTTACTACAAGTTCAAACCTTTTTCCAACATTTTGAGACAACATTTTCATGTGCAACATCGCTATGCCGCTTTGGGGCCGGGAAAAACCCGCAGGTCTTTATCGCCGACATTCGCAACTGCCAGACCAAGGAGCAAGAGCAGCAAAGAGTTGACAAGGCGAGCATGGCATGGCAGATGGCAGCACCTGGAACATGGATTTAGATGCATAATCCAAAAACGCACTGGCATGTGAAGCTATTGTGTGTAGCTTTGCCGGTAGGAGTTGTCGAAGATCCGCTTGAAGTTTGCCAATCCAAAGTCTCTCACGGGCTATGACAAGAAAAAGTGCCCTGGGCATACTCTAGTTCCATTTCTTTTTGACATGTAGCCGGGGGCGATGAAATTGTCAGTGAGGTATGTCTGGAAGCTCCTGTATGCTTACATGCTTGGCTACGAGATTGACTTTGGGCACTTTCAGGCGCTTTGGCACAGACTCGAGTTCGAAACTACCCACACGTTTTTTGGACACTTTTCCTGTGAGGCTGTAGAGCTATGCTCAGCGTCCAAATTCAGTGAGAAAACTGCAGGGTGTAGCACTAAGATGGAGCTTCTAGGGGAGCTTTGAGGCATTCAGTCTTGTTTCAGTCCTCTTTGAGGCTTTACTTCACACTGCCTCAAGGCATTTTCATTCCTTGCAACTTCGAGGTATTTGGCCACCTCCTTACTTCTCGCTGACAACAACGACATGGTGCGCATGATTGTGAATAGCGTGAAGACGGACATGGCATCCGGCAACGAGGCTCGTGATATTTTTATACTTCTCTTGGGCCAAGTCTTGGGCTGTTGTCGTTTTCATATCCACTGAGGTGGCATAAAGCAACTCCTGAAAAACAGCTAACTCCTCAACAAAAGTTGGTTGAACAATGTGGAACAACTTTTTGTCGAGTCTGAAGTAATATCAATGATTTCTGCTGAAAGGAAGAAAGAAAGGAAGGACAAACAAAAGGTCTACGAAGGAAAGATAAGAAGGACAGAAGACAGAAAAAGGAGCGACCAGGACGAAGAAAGATGAACCAGACACAAACCATCTTTCTTATTTTTGCTTTTGACCTTTCTTCATTTTTTCAGTTTTCTTTGTTTCTACTAGCGATGGCCTCCAACCTAGAAGCGATGGCCTCGAACTTACTAGCAAACTATATTCGATTTTTCTTCCTTCTTTCTTTCGAATACAATCATAAATCGTATCTAGTAGCTTCTTGTTACTAGTAGTAAGGCCAGGAGCCCCTAGTAGCGTCTTTGCTCCTAGTAGCGATGCCCTTTGTTCCGTTCGTAGCTTCTTTCTTTCTTCTTTTTTCCTCCAAACTTCAACTCTTTGATTCGGTCGACTTCGTCGACTCGCTGCAGCACATGGCTGCATTGGCCTTGAACACCGTGGCCAACATCGGAGGCACGAGAGTGAGAGAGTGACAATGTTTGCTATTAGAAACAAGTGCCACGCTAGTAGTAACAAGTGCCTTACTAGTAGTAACCAGAAGCTATTAGAATTAATAGCTTCTTGTTACTAGTAGCGTGGCACTTGTTACTAGAAGCGATGCACTTGTTCCTAGTAGCGACAGACTCCCATCCCTCCGTTGATTAAGCCAGTGTGAGCCTGTACGGCTTTGGTTCTCTCGCTTTTGTCCCCGGGCGTTCTCACGTTGTGGCTGGCAAAGAAGGTAACAATCGCAAACCTACTAGTAACCAGGGCCGCTACTAGGAGCAAAGGGCATTACTATATACTAGGAACAAGGGACGCTACGAACGGAGCTACGAACGGGCATCGCTACTAAACATCGGCTCTTCCTCCGCCCAAAGGGGTCCTACGGCGTGAAAGTTCGCAGGTCCGGAGTTCGCCGACAACCTTTTCTCCGATATTTCCAAGATGATCCTGAACCAGTCCAATGCGTGCGCATTCCCAGGCCCTAGGTTGGCCATCGCTATGAGGTTCTTTGCCAATCACTGTGTTCTTTTTGTTGCTGAGGCTGTCTCCCTACATCAAAAGAAAGGCCTGCATTTGCCTTCTGAGACTCTACCGGAAGGAGAACGATGGTCTTCAACCTGATGTGCCCAAGCTAAGCTGTTCAGATGCGAGGTTCAGATGTTTTTTTCCTTTTGGAAGACGATACATCAGTGACATATGACGTGAGACTAGCTTGTGTCTTTTGTCTTCTGTTCTTTTCAATTGGGTTGGAGGCTATCGCTAGGTGGGAGGCCATTGCTCTTCGGTTTAAGCTTATCAGGTGTGGCAAGGGAAGCTTGCAGCTCTCTTCCTGGAGCGAGATATCGGCCTTCTGACGTGGGGATCCAAGTGCTCGGCTTCGATTAGGAATCGTCACCTCGTTCCATGAGGTCAGCAAGTGGCTTTATGCTTGGGATTTTGGAGATGGGGAAATATCCCGTGCGACTGCCATCGGTTTTGCTATCTATGCTTGGCCCTTCCTTACTATCCATTGCTATCCTTGACCCACGACCAAGGTACAGTCTTGGGCACAGGTTGTGCCACCTGTGTGCCAATGTCTTGCGAATCTCGTCCAGGGGGATTGCCCAGAGTACTACGAGTGCGCCAAGTGAGGATCAGACCTATGGAGGACCTTCCAGTCTGTTCAACATAGGTTTTGCAAACTTTCGTTTTTTTCAATGATCCTCATAGTCTAGGTACTACCATGTGCCAGCCCCCTGGCTTCAAACCAAGCTGCTGAGAATCTTGCACGGCGCACAGTCTTTGTGGGACTTTTTCCTCAAAAGCATGGCACAAGAGACGCCAGCTCTCCAGTGCATTCGCTCTACGACGTGTCATTCGCTCTACACCCGTTCGGCCCGTTCTCACGTCATGTCGACAGTTGTGACTAGTAGCGATGCCCTTTGCTCCTAGTAGTACGGCCAGGCGCCCCGTTCGTAGCGTTCGATCGCTCCTAGTGTAGCGATGCCAGGAGCCCCCGTTGGTAGCTTCTTGTTACTACTAGTAAGGCACTTGTTACTAGAAGCGATGCACTTGTTCCTAGTAGCGTCTTTGCTCCTAGTAGATTACGTGTTGACATGAGACGTTGCCCGCCAAGAGCACAAGGCCGGTTGAAAGCGACTAACCGGAAGCTGCCAACTCCAAAGCGTCCTTTCAAACACTTTCCGAAAGGTTGGAGAAGGACATGGTTACTGTATATATGAGTTTTTTTCCCTTAAACACTGGCGAAAAAAGAAGCTGCTGTTCACTGGCGACCTATAGCACCGTAGCTGTTCACGGCCTTTGTTCCTTGCCTTCTGCACTTCCTTTTTCTCATACCTTTTTTCAATTTTTTCCTTTTCAATTGCTCCTGGATTCAATTCGTTATTTCTTGTCATTTCTTGTCCAATTTCTCTCTCTTTCGACATCTACAATGCTTTGGTGCTTCTCGAGTGCCCCTAAGAAGTGCAGAAACAATATTCGTGTGTATGCGGGCTGACAAACACAAATCTTCACGTTGGAGGAACTGAGTGACGCGAAACAAGTGTTGGTTGAAATGAAACAAGGTGGAGAAGATGTACAATGTCTATTTTTTTGCCAAGAACATAATTTGCACACTATTTAGGATTCCCCACCCATAGGGCAGAGATTTCGACGTCAAAGAAAGTCTTGAGAATTCTTCACGTTGATGTCCCATGCATACTCCTGAACATTTGTTACTAGTAGAGATGCCCTTTGTTCCTAGTAGCGTCCTTGTTCCTGGTAGTAAGGCCAGGAGCTACTAGTAGCGTCCTTGCCCCTAGTAGCGATGCTCTTTGTTACTATGTGTAGAAGCTGCAGAAGATCCCGTGTGCCAGAAGATGCGACTGTATTTGACTTTCAGCGCGGGAGTGCTTTGTCTTGCGTTCACGCTACTCACTGTTATGGTAGTTCAGTCACCGTGCGAGGTGTGAAAACGAGAATGATCCATACCACAGCTGCTAAACTCCGAGGCAGTTCTTTCCTATTTCAATGTTCGACGCTGAACTTTTGTGGGGCGCTAAGCTTGCCAGTGTCGATCTTGCCACAAGTGCCACACTTGCCAATCTTGTATCTCAACATTCCCTTGCCTCCCCATCTTGGCAGGCACCGTGTGAATGTGATGCTGCAAACCATTTTGGCAAAGCCATCTTCGCAGAGGACGCCAGCACCCCCTCCGGGTCAGGAGCAAAGGTGTACGGTGTACGGAGGGTCAACGGTGTACGCCTAGTAGCGACGGCCTCCCACCTAAAGCAAAGGGTTTCAGGGTTCTCTTTCCCAGAGTTAAATGCATCAAATGAGGACACTGAAGTACACCTTCCACAGCATCAGCATTTGTTTGTCAAAAAATAGACTGTACAGAGCTGAGGCCCAGGCAAGAAGAGAAGCAAGGCCATGTGTGGTGCACGTGATATAGTAGCTTCTTGCTACTACTAGTAAGGCACTTGTTACTAGAAGCGATGCACTTGTTACTAGTAGCGAACATTGTTTCTGCACGTGCACAGACCGGAGTTCTGCACAGACAGGTGGATGCTGAGCGGCAAAACAGGTCAAATGCCGAGCACGCCATTCTGTTCGAGGCGATGTCGTGGTTTGACCATCGCTATCAGGTTGGAAGGTTAGAGGCCATTGCCATCAACTCAAAAGAATATATAGTAGCTTCTTGTTACTAGTAGTAATGGCCTCCAACTTAATAGCTTCTAGCTCCTAGTAGCGATGGCCTCCACCCTAAGTAGCTTCTTGTTACTATATATATATATATATTTAATATTTCATTTATATAATTGAGGTTCCAAGGTGTCATGATGTCTCGATATTCGTGCGATTCCAGCGACATCCCACAGGCGATGAACTTGATGATTCACCTGGAGGCGGATTCTGAAACTAATTGACCCCTGCCCCTTCACAGACTGATAGCATTTTGTCTATTCATCTTTTTTTGACAGACCTTTGGACCTTTCTTTATTTTTGTTTTCTTTACCCTTTTCTTCCTTTGCTTTTATGTCGTTTTCCTTCTTTGAACTCTGCACCCCTCAAAGACTTATAGCTCTTCAGGACACAGCAGACCCAGAGACCATGAAGACTGCTGCGGGCCTTCTTGGGATTTTCCTCTCGTCGACCGATCCCAACATCAGGTGCTTTCTGCGTGCCATTTCCTCTAACAAGTCAGTCATTCCATGCCACCGTGCCATTCCATGTGCCTTCGGTGCTTACTTCTCCTGAGTCTCTCACTTCGTTCGACTCAATTGTACCCTGTGTTCTGTAGCTGCAGGTACTTGGGGCTAGAGACTATGGCACGGTTGGCAACAAACCTCATGACGCATGAATATCTGGACAGGTGCGAAATATAAAGAACACTTCACATAGAAAGTAAGAGCTTCCTAAAAGCGGGCGCAGATACAAGAACCAAATCCTGGACAAGATGCACGAAGCGGATATTTCGATCAGAAGACAGGCCAGGTGACATCGTTCGCTACGACAAATAGGACGGAGCGGCATCGCACACGACGAACGGGGCGCTCCTGGCCTTACTAAGAACAAGAAGCTACTAGGAGCAAAGGGCATTACTACTAGCAAGAAGCTACTAGGTTGGAGGCCGGCGTGTGAGAACCAATATTATAATATTGCTTTTTTAAGTTACTGTCTCTGATTGCCGACCGTTGTCCTGTTTCCCAAGGCGCTCAATCTCTTGTACGCCTTGTGCAGGCTCCTTCCATGAACTGTTGCTTGTGTAGATTTTGTGCACTGAAACCAATGAGCAGACACAGAAGGAAGCTGAAACAGAAGCAGAGCAGAATTAGCAACGGGGCTTCTCATTTCCCTGTACTAGCTGCTCCTTACCACGTAGCTTACTACTTAGCTGACTTCTCTCCTCTACTTACCGGCCTACCCGTAAAGAGACTTGGAAAAGAAAGCTTGCTGGATGTATCAAGTCAAGGCCGGAGAATTGGCAACAGATTGTTGACGAGCTGCTCGAGATCCTGGGCGCCAGTGATGCTCTGCTGCAAGAGGACGACGAAGTCTGAAAGATTTCGGAAGAAAACCTCATATGGTTTGCTAGTAGGTTGGAGGCCATCGCTAGTAGGTTGGAAGAGAACAAAAACGAGGAAGAAAGGTCTACAGAGAAAACAAAAGCAACAAGAAAGACATGTCTAAAGAAAAGCATGGACAAAGAAAACAACTACATAATGAAAGGTCTAAAGAAAAACGATAAACATACACCTGAAAGAACAACAGGTCTAAAGAAGACAATTTTGAAGCACATAAAGGACATGACGAAACAAGAAAAGAGACATGAGGGAACGGTCTAAGGAAAAATACACATAAACAAAGAACAAAGAACGACAGCAACATAAACAACAGCAACAAAAAGAAGGACATGAAGAGAATGAAGAACAAAAGACAAACAAAGATGGTCTACAGAAAGAAAGGCCTAAGGACCAAAAGGGAAACCGGTCTAAGAACAAGAAGAGGATCGGAAGAATTTGAACACGTTCAAGAGTCTTAGTCAAAGAAAGGAAGTGACAAGAGAGTCTGGTTTAAGGGTCTGAATAAAACGAAAAGACAATGAAGGATGAAAGAAAAGAACGGAGCAAAGAAAGACATAGTAGCTCCTGGCCATACTACTAGTAGCAAGAAGCTACTTTTAACAAATGGCGTCGCTACCAGTAACAAAGGGCATTACTACCAGTAGCTAATGTGCTACTAAGAACAAGAAGCTACTAGGGGCTCCTGGCCTTACTAAGAACAAGAAAACCTAAGGACCTAAGACTTAAAGAAAGATATAAACAAAGAGAGTTGGAATAGATGATGAGCGATGCTTGCGTGTCTCCAGGAGCTCGTCCTAAAGATTGCCATTTTGGCGGAGAAAAATGCTCCGAACTTTGGTTGGTACGTGGACGTTCCGCCCGCACTTTTAAACATGTTTCAACAACCTCAGAACGCTACGAACGGAGCAAAGGGCATCGCTACGAACGGAGCAAGGACGCTACTAGGGCTCCTGGCCTTACTACTAGGAACAATACAGCTACTAGGAACCTCAACCAGAACATTGTCCTAACTTAGCCAAGCAGTGCTTCAGAAGAGCTGCTTTGTTTGGACGTAGGTGATTCAGGCCATTGCGTCTTAGGTTGGAGGCCATTGCTAGTAGTATATTGCTCATCATGCCCTTTGATTCCTTTTGCATGGCAAGTCGTGGCAGGTGGTGTTCAAGATGTTGGAAAGTGCCCCTGACGCAGCAGTTGGCTCAGCTGCAGTTGATCTTCAGTGCTCATTGTTGACTTTATTGCCCCCCGGTCAGAGCTACTGCGCAATTGTCACTGCGTCTTCCCGTTCGCAGGTGGCAGATGATGTTTGGTACCGAGTTGTGCAGGCAAGAGAAGACACAAGCTCAATGACAGTGGGAACAGTTTCAAAAGCATCTTGTTGGATAGACACTGACCCTGCATATGGGTAGTTTTCTATGCAATGCAGTTTGAACGTTTAAACCAAGTATTCTTGTGCTATGGTATGCCCATTGTTGCTGTATATGCAATTTTCAGGCCTTTGATGCAAGACATGTGTGTTTGATACCCAAAAGGTTGCTTATTGTAGACTGTAAAATGTGTGCTTGCCAGTGGCAAGCCTTTTTGCCAAACCTTCGAGCCACAGCGATGGCCGCTCAGTTATTTCCAACAGCAGAATGCCGGGGGGGAGTGGTACACAGGCTCTTGTCTCCAGCTCTTGTTACTACTAGTAAGGCACCCTGTTACTACTAGTAAGGCACTTGTTTCTAATAGCTTCTTGTTTCAGACCACTCCCAACAGAAAGAGAAGCTATTAGAAACAAGTGCCTTACTAGTAGTAACAAGAAGCGACTTCCACCCTGTTGCCACTGAAACCTTGGGTGCTAGGAGTTCCACCTGGTGAAGTGATCCGAGTGATCGGACTTCCACCGGGTGCTGTAAGATGCTGTGATTGGATTGCACCTCGGAACCTACTAGCGATGGGCCTCCAACCTAGTAGCGTCCGATCGCTCCGTTCGTAGCGATGCCCTTTGTGACTAGTAGCGAACCTTGCTCCTAGAAGCAATGGCCAGGAGCACCTAGTAGCGTCCGATCGCTCCTAGAAGCAATGGCCTCCAGAGCAATGGCCCTGGGTGCTTTTAGATTTTTTAGGTCAGGTGCTGTGATCTGCCTTGGGCCGTGTCATTTCCAGTCTCTGCAACCGACACATTGGGCAGCCATTCAGACTTTTCCGAGAACGTGGGCTGATGGCCTACTCTGTCCCTCGCTAGGATGGAGGCCATCGCTAGTGGGATCCTTTTGCCAGATTTAGCCTCACGCGGAACCTGCGCAGCAGATCAAATTAGGCAGACTGACTGCCAGGTCGTTGTCTTGAGGTGAGTTCAATAGCGTTGGAGGAACAATGCGCTGTGTGTTCCTGGCAGTAGTAGTTCCGCAGCGCAGAGTGTTCTTTGCGAGCAGTGCAACACATGGTAACGTAACGTACCTGTATGCCAGCCATTAAATGTCTTGTGCGCACCAAGGCCGCACTTGCGTCTCCCTATCTCTCATTCTTTCCATACTGTAAGATCTAGGAACAATACCTAGAAAGACGCAGCTGCGCCGGAAACAGTTTCGCAGCTCTGATGCGGTTTCCTGCCAGCTCCTAGATCCCAGTTCTTGCTCCATTCTTGTTCCCCAGCTGCTCCCCAGCTCCCTTAGCAAATGGATTTCGGATTGGCTTATAGTAAGGCCAGGAGCTACAAGTAGCGTCCTTGCTCCGTTCGTAGCGATGCCAGGAGCCCCGAACGTAGCGTCCTTTTGTTCCGTTCGTAGCGACCCCGTCGCTATGAGGTGAAGGACGGGGTCCCTCACTTGGTCGGTTTCGGCAGTGTAGGGGGAAGCATCCTCTCCCTCTTTCTTGCACAAAATTCAACCGTGTAAACATGTAGAAGGGTGCAACTTGTGCACAAGCTGTCCGGAGTGTGCCAGCTGTAGTGCCCTCCTGTTTTCCACCTTCAGTTCTGGTATGAGTTTGTGAAAGGATCACAAGGCTACTCAAGGACCCTTTTTCTAATCTACGCGTGATATTGTACACATAGATTGACATACCCGATTAGAGCACGGGAGATCACACCACCATACAGCACGACCAAGTGACCTTTTGCAGGTGGTCACCGGCTTTGAAGATGGTCTTGCGGAATCTGTGTTGACCTAAACCTGCAAGTTGACTTCATCAGCTTCGCATGTTCTTCTCAATCAAAGGAGCTGTGTCCTTTGCCACAGGAAAAGCATGGCTTGCAGAGACATGCTGCGAGCAAGGCGGCTCAAACTCAACTTCTGTGGATTTGCAAAAATTTCGGGTAGAGGCCGCTACTAGGAGCAAGGGCATCGCTACTAGGAACAAGAACGCTACTAGGGGCTCCTGGCCTTACTATTAGGAGCAATGACGCTACTAGGAGCTTTGGATCTTTACAACTTCTACTTTCCTCAATCTGTTCGTTCATTTGTGAGGCCTATCAAAACCTCACCTCGCAAAGAGCTCCTCATGACACGCTGCTTCGCTTGGGCGCGTACGAAGCTCGTAGAGATTTCCGACGGCTACTCCTGAGTTTGCATGTTGTTGCTTTGGCCCTGAGGTACCTGATTGGGGAGTTTGGACATCTGTTGCCACAGAGCGTAACGCCTCGGGCCAAATTCGAGGCTTTACACAGGCACTTTGCCAGAGGCTCCCAGCAGACGAAGGTGCCGATGAGCGCGACGGATTTCGGCTTCGAAGATGTTTTTTTCCGGAAGCGAAATGGTGAGGCCATCGCAAGTAGGTTGTCGTCACTAGTGTTCTGCTGGCTTTGAGGCGATCCTTTTGCTTGCATCGGTGAAGCTTCTCAATGGAAATGCGGAAGCACTCAAAGGAGAAGTTGGGAACTTCTTACGAGAAATTCAGGCGGGCACACGATCAAGTCTGGCTTAACTGGCCTTTGAATGTTTTGTTCATTTGGATTGAATGTTGAGTTTCCCTAAAAATCTAGGAACCACATGAATAGTGCGTGAGCTATCCTGTGTCCAGTAGCTAGTAGCGTACTAGTAGCTACCTCAGTCCCTTACTTAAGTAAGTAGAAACAACATCGTCTTTGTTTTACAACCTGGTTGTCGAATCGGACGAAGCCGGAGCGAGACGGTATTGAGGACAGTGCCGATGTGGACCTGCAGCAGCGCGCAGTTGAGTTGCTGCAACTGTGCCGGGACGAGGCTTTCGACGCCTGAACGGTTGTTTGATGAGTTTGGAAGGGAAGAAAGTGAAGAAAAAACAACTTTTAATTCTTTTCCTTTTTTTAAAAGACCTTTCATGACTTTTTCTGAAATCATTTTCTTTCATGTTTCTTATGTCTAAAAGGCATTGTCTGGAAGTGCGAAGGACAGACTCGACGAGGTTCTGTCGCCAATGCCATCGTGCCACAAGTTTTGCACAAGCGAAAGCATGCTTTCACAAGAGCTCCTTCTTCTTCTTCTTCTTTCTTCTTCGTTTCTTCTTCTTTGTTCTTCTTTGTACTTTGCCAATTTCTTCTTTGACAAAGTTCTTCTAATTCCAGGTATGCGGAGAGCGTTCAGCGGAACAATCCGCTCGCTGCTGCCCCAAACGGGGGGGAGGAGAGGGAAGGTTGGAAAGGGGAAAGAAAGGGACGGGAAAGGAAGAGATACAAAAAAGAAGAAAACAAAAGAAACAAGAAGAAGCTACTAGGAACAAAGGGCATCCTTGCTCCTAGTAGCTCCTGGCCTTACTACTAGGAGCAAAGGACGCTACGAACGGAGCTATCCAATTCCCAGCGATTTCTCCAAGGTGCAGCGCTTGAAGTTCTCTTCCAGGAACCGAGCCCACACCAGGGCTCAGCTGGAAGAGGCCGGAATGAAGAAAGAGAGGGTCTAAAGGTCTGAAAGGAGTGTTTAGCTTCTTGTTACTACTAGTAAGGCACTTGTTACTACTAGCGTGGCACCTGTTACTAGTAACAAAGGGTCTAAAGGTCTGAAAAACACGAATAACAAGCAGATATATAGCTTCCAGCCCTACAAGGAGTAATGCCCTTTGCTCCTAGTAGCTTCTAGCTACTAGTAGTAATGCCAGGAGCTACTAGTAGCGAACCTTGCTCCCAGTAGCAGATATGTTACTATGGCCTTTTCCTGGAAGTTCCCGTGTTTAGGAACGCTTTTGTGAGGCTGCGCGGAGTGAAGGTGGCATGTACAAGCCTGGAGGCCACTCCGACCTTTGGTGCTGAAGCAAGGTGCCTTGCTAGTAGTAACAAGCTATTAGTAGTAAGGCCAGGAGCGCCCCTAGTAGCGTCCGATCGCTCCTAGTAGAGATGCCCTTTGTTACTAGTAGCTTCTTGTTACAAGTAGTAAGGCACCTTGCTACTAATGCGCAATTTGCCGCTTTCCCGGTGTGCCAATACTGAATTCCTGTGCAGTAGGGAGAAGAAAGAGACAGCAACAAAACAACAAAGAAGACAGAAAGAAGCTACTAGTTACTAGTAACAAGGGCATCGCTACTAACCAGAAGCTACTAGTAAACGCATTCTTGTTTCGCCTCCAAATCGTACACCCCTCGGGGTTTTTCAAGGAAGCTTCTTGTTCCTAGTAGCGAACATTGTTACTACTAGTAAGGCACTTGTTACTACTAGCGTGGCACCTGTTACTAGTAGCTTCTTGTTACTACTAGTAAGGCACTTGTTACTAGAAGCGATGCACTTGTTACTACTAGCTTTCTTGTTCCTAGTAGTAAGGCCAGGAGCCCCGTTCGTAGCGTCCGATCGCTCCTTGCGTTCTGCATCCTTACAGCTTTCTGGTTTGGCAATCCACCCGGATGTTTGAGGATTTCTCTGTTGCAGCGTGCACAGGTAAAAAAGTGGAAGGAGATGGACAAGCTTTGGACATCCCTGATCCAGGCAAGTATGAGTCGAGAAAAGGCAACATGAAACCAGAGACGCATTGAATGAGACATTGATGGCCTCCAACCTAGCAGCAATGGCCCTGGTAGCTTCTTGTTCCTAGTAGCAAATTAGCTGCTGCCATTGTTGTACAAAAAGTTCAGTTTCGCTGCTCTCAAGCCATTGCGAGGGTGGAGGCCATCGCTAGTAGGTTGGAGGCCTTGAGGTCTGCTTAAGTAGCTACTACCCCGGTGGCAGGGCGCAAATTGTGGTCGCCATGTTATGGCGGTCCGAAATGGGCAGGTCTAAAAAGAAGGATGTCTTCCTTGATTTGGTGAAAACTCACATGTATATAAGTAGCATTTCGTGAACTAACATACAGACCAGACTGGTTTCATGCAATGGTGATGCTGAACTCTGATGCCTATTTGTTATTGAACTTTTGGCAATGTTGGTGTTCACAGTGCAATCTTTCAAGATCCTGGTTAATCTAGGCGCCATAGACATTACACAGAGCGTGGAGAGTGCGTGCATCCAAGTGCAAGGTCAGCCGACTGCCAGCACTGCTAGTAGAGGCCCACAGGCATTCGGAGGGGGAGTTTGAAATGGATGGCCGTTAACAATCTATATACGTCGATGGCACTTGTTTCTAATAGCTTTTTTGTTACTACTAGTAAGGCACTTGTTACTACTAGCGTGGCACTTGTTCCTACTATTTATTTCTTTATTTTTGGATGTTCTTTTGTGGCCAATTTTTTGGACGATGATTTCTGAGCAAGTACGCAAAGTACAGACAAGCACAACAGCTTCAGCAGCTTGAAACTGAAGCTGCAGAAAACGCAGACTGCTTTTGTAGGCTGCTTCAGAGCCACGTTCCCAGCCTGTTGCTCTCAGGTTGGAGGCCATCGCTACTAGGGTGGAGGTCATCGGTATTAGATTCCTTATGCTGTTAGGAGCAAAGGGCATCGCTACTAGAAGCAAGGACGCTACTAGGGGTGCTCCTGGCCTTAGGGTCAGATCAACCTCGAATCCATCGCCACTGTCTCTGAGGTCAGAATCTTCTGATTCGGAAGGCCAAGCTCAGGGTGACACCACACTACATGTCACTGACCCATCACCCTGAAAGATTTTTGCGTTTCTCTTTCTTTGTTTTCTTCTTTTCTTTATACCTGTAGACAATTCGTTTTGCAATCGTTTTTCCTTAAAATCTTTCTCGTCGTTTCAGTTCTGCGCAACATCCAATCAGCTGAACGAAGAGTTTTACCTAACTTTTCCTTTTGTCCTTCGACTGCTTCGACTGCTTTGGCTCCTCGGTTCTCGCTTGCAGATGAAGCTCCTAGCACTTCTGGACCTAGCCCAAAGGAGACGGGAGAATTATGGAAGCCGGAGAAAATGGCGTTAGCTGATGCCTTTGCCTGCCTATGTACCAAAACGGAAGGACGGAAAGGAAAGGAAAGGAAAGGAAAGGAAAGGAAAGGAAAGGCAAGGCAAGGCAAGGCAAGGCAAGGCAAGGAAGGAAGGAAGGAAGACGAGGCTCTGATCGTCTGATTGACAAATGTTAAGAGAAAGAAGCACGATGAATAAACACAATAACAAGTGCCACGCTTCTAGTAACAAGTGCCTTACTAGTAGCAACAAGAAGCTATCTCACTCCCCGAAAGACAGTCTAAAGACTCGCCTCGAGTTTGCATGTTCACCAAGAGCCATGCACAGCGCTCTATTTGTTGGCTCCAAAGCCTAGAAGCACGCAAGCACTGCAAGCACCGCAATTTTGAGATGAGTGTGCAGGATTTATGGCTTCAATTGTGCTTGGCGCCAGTTGGAAGGTCAGGAAGCTTCAACTCAAGGGAAAGACTAGTATGCTTTTGAAGCTTCTTAGTAAAGCTTTTTAGTAACTAGAAGCTTCCTTGGGAATCGTTTCACCTGTAGTAACAAGAAGCTTTTTAGTATGTCTTTGAAGCCAGAAGGTAGACCTGGACACATTTGGTGCAGGTTCTACTCTTCAGCATCTTTGGTTCTGGAGATGAAGCAAGAGTGCGCAAGAGAGTTTTACTCTCCTCATTTACTTCCAAAGCGTCCTTGCCCCTAGTAGTAAGGCCAGGAGCCCCTAGTAGCAAACATTGTTCCTAGTAGCGATGCCAGGAGCCACGTTCGTAGCGTCCTCATTTTCTTATTCATGTTCTTCGGTCCAACTTGCCAAGGTACAATGCCGCTACTGGCCGTCTCACTATTCTTTTCAAGAATGTCAGCAAGGCCTCGCGGTCGACACATCAGGGCGTGTGAGATGTCAGGGACAAGCGACCGAATCTCAATCCAAGCGACTCGGGGTCTCGATTTAATATATTCCAATGCTTATATATGTTGAACCGAGCTAGCACGGAGTCGGATACAAACAGAGCAGAGTTGCGCTTCCAATCTGAGGCGCTGCACTTCAATTCATTTTCACGAGTTGTGAGACCAGTTTTTGGGCGAAGATGTTCTGCAAAAGATCCCATGATATTGATGTTGGGAAAAGCCTATTCAAAAGCTATTACAGCTGAGGTATCCAAAAGCCTTTCGCAAGTAGCTCAACCTGCCAGAGGAAGAAGCTTTCACAGCACACTTCACATTCAGCACATTGCACCACTCAGCAAGATCAGTTCTATTTTCTTTTTTTATTGAAAAAGCCTTGACAAATGCCACCGCCTCCATTTGTCCAGCAGTCGGTTGGCACGACATGTACATGGAAGTGGCACCCGAATATCCACCGGCTTTGTTGAACTGTCCAGCCGTGAAAATGCCACCTCTTCTACCTTGTGAGGCCACTTGTGAGGCTGCAGAAAACACCAGTTTCACGAACACATGGTCTTTTCAGAGGGCGGTTCTTCGGTTCTTGCGGTTCTTTCAGAGGGCTTGCTTCCATGTAGGGGAAAAGACAGCTACTAGTAACAAGTGCATCGCTACTAGTAACAAGTGCCTTACTAGTAGTAACAAGAAGCTAAATAGAAACAATAGAAGCTAGTAGTAACAAGTGCATCGCTACTAGTAACAAGTGCCTTACTAATAGTAACAAAATGCTACTAGGAACAAGAAGCTGTTGATCCCAGGGGGCTGTCGGCAACATCCGCGTGATGATCCCTGAGGCGTGAACCCGCCGAATCGGATCCAAGCGCATCGCTACGAACGGAGCAAAGGGCATCGCTACTAGGAACAAGAAGCTAGTAGAAACAAGATATAATTTAGAATTTAATTAGAATTAACAATTAGTAGTAAAAGAGGCTATTAGGAGCAAGGATGCTATTAGGAGCTACTAGGAGCAAGTACGCTACTAGGGGCTCCTGGCCGTACTAGGAGCAAGGGCATCGC